ATTATATATATATATATATATATATATATATATATTGCAATTTGAATTGATTAATTTTAAATTTTGGATTCATTTCTGCGTACCTGGCTATATCTCTTTCCACCAATCATCTTCACCGTTATGTTTAACATCATATCATCAAACCAATGGCCAATATCAACTTTAGTTAGTACATTTTTTGCTTCATTAGCAACAAAAAGTGTGTACAATTCCTTGATGCTACTCTCCACTTCTGAAATTCGAACATGCTTTAACCTCTCCAGACTCTTACTCGATAGCAAATTATTAACCACCAATTTTCGAACCATACGCCAATAAGGTCCATAATTTGCAAATGTAAGATTTGCATGGTCATAGCCAAGATATTTACAAGAACAAGTAGCTACTCTATTGGCTAAGTTCTTGTCTTGTGTAGTAAAACATTCTTTTATTGCTTCATAACTACTCACAACGGCTATTGGGAACATTCCTTGACGGATGGTGAAAACTGGCCCATACTTATCTGCTAACGCGGCTAGGGTATGGGCCAGAGGAATTTCACCGTCCGTGTTGCTCCTATTGCGACCGTCTAACGTGTCGCTTAGGATTTGAGGGAGGTGGCCTATAATTGGCCATGCTCCTGGAAGTTGTGGAGGGGGTGGGCCAAATTTTTTGCTATTTTTCCAAGTTTTTGCTTTTCTTATGAGAAAGAATAGGAAAACAAAAACTAGAATTCCAATAATAGCTTCAACATGTGAGAGAATGTGAATTTCCATTGGACAAAAGGGAAAAAAAAAATAGATTGAGTTAGAAGAGAATGTATTGGTTTGATTGAGATTTTGAACTATATATTTAGGCTTAATATATAAGTAACCTAACTAAATTTCATTTCGACACTTGAACTAAGGCTTGTTCTAATTACGCATCTAATTACGTTTCTATATCAAACACACACTTTCGATTCAAAAAAGGTTTTAATGTGTTATCAAGTGTTGATTATTTAAATAAGTTAACCAGCTAATTTTTTTTTAATCATATGCATTTGTTTCAATAAGTCATAAAACCTTAGACCTATTCAAATTGAGGTTGATATGTATACTTAAAGGAGATGACATATTTAACATAATTAACTTAACTATCTAATAAACGCTTGAGAAGATATACAGTACTATCTTCTTGATGAATATTTTATAAGTAATAATGATTTGATCCAATATTGGGTCTAAATAATTGAAAGTAAAATATGATTCTATAATAATTCCAATAAGGTGAAGACTAAAAGTAAAAGTTATTATCGGAGGATATGTATACATTTTTATCCGATTATGATTAGGTAAAGATCGACATACATTATTGTTTCAGAAATATTATTTTGTCCATTTCAATTTATTTGTCTTAATTTTTATTTGTAGTTTATTTAAATATATAATTCTGTTTTGACAAATTTTTATTCTAGCTTTTCACATGACATATTTAAGACTACAAAATCAAAGAACATTTTAACACATTCTATAAATTTTTAATCTAAGACCACAAATTAATTCAAAAAAATCTTTAATTTTCTAATTTCATGTTAAATTAAAATCAGACAAATAAATTGAAATAGAAGGATTATTATATTTCATTTTGACGACAGAAATTAAAAATTATTTACGTGAATTGTGTTGTACTACAATTATTGATATTGAAACCTTACGTCACCAACAATTATGAAATTTCATCTATCAGAGGGCAATAATCCAAATTTAACTTTTTGTGACTAGATCTTATAAAAAAATATATTTGTAAAGCAATGTTATAATCCAAATTTTCCTTCTGTTTTTTTTTCCCACTCTCTTTGCCACTAATAGTAATCCAATCAATTATAATAGCTTTATATAACGTGATACATGTTATGGATAATAATTAGGAATAATTATGGATCTGAACCATTCAACTATTTAAATTATAAAAAATATATAAGTAATGTGGATCCGGCTCCTCACCATTTTCCCAAATTTCTATTTAGATTAATGACACATGGCATAGGTTAAAATAAATGGCTACGATTTAATCTCCCAAAGTAAATCTTTAACCATGATTTAACTAATAAATACAATATATATTTAGTATTAAAAAATTTTATAATCTCACAATCTTAGCACCATGTTATCTTGTCTACAAATATAGAGAAAAAAAAGTTTTTCCTAATCACTTTTTTTTACGTGGGATCTTTTTAAATTTTCTTTTAAATATTGAACTGCTGCCAAATATAGCTAATGTTAATTTTGGAGGAAATAGAAAAAAAAAGGTGAAATAAAATAAGAAAAATAATACTCTTGAATAGCTAATGGTTAAAAAGAAAAATTCAAGTAAAAAATGCAAAAAAATATTCACTTAAAAATAAAATAAAATTAACATCCTAAGTAAAAAAATTTAGGAATTTTTTGCCCCCCCTAAATTTATGAACAAGATAATATGTTGTTAAGATTGTGGGGGTTATAGTAATTTTTAAAATTAAATATATAATATATTTATTAGTTAAATCATGGTTAGAGATTTACATTGGGAAATTAAATCTTAGCCATTTATTTTAACCTATGTCATGTGTCATTAATCCAAATAAAACTTGGGGAAAATGGAGAGAAGTGAAATGGAGAGGAGCCGAATCCAAGTAATGTGTACTTTATTATAAATATATACCATATAGGCATAATATACCTATAATACTATGCATATAATATACATCATATACATGATAAGATATATATTGTATATACTATAGCAATATATATATTGGTAAACTAAATGGCCCAATGATATATTGATAATTATTCTTAACAGTCATGAGTAGGGGTGTTCACGGTTTGGTTTGGGTCGGTTATTGGTCAAAACCAAAACCAAACCAACTTAAATCGGTTTTTAAAAATTATCAAAAATCAAACCAAACCAAATATAATATACATTTATCGATTTGGTTGTTTTCGGTTTTGGTTTGGTTTGGTTCAGTTATTCGGTTATTAACCATACATAAAAATAAAATAAACAATTCCTTCAAAACGTGAAAAAAGTGGCAACAATCCATTCAAACAAAAAATAGTTAGAATGACTGACATTACAGAACTTTCGATCATTGAATTTACTGAATAAAACTTCAAAATTCACTATTTTGGCATAGAAGGAAGAGACAATGACATTTTAAGTCCTACAAAGAATTTTCATAGACACTCATATATATATTTATTTATTTATTTATTTATTGTATAGTGAGTCCTCAAATAATATTAGGCTCATCTGTTATTATTATATCTTTTTAATTTCCCATGTTATTTAAAAATATATTCTAATGGAGCAAAAGAATATTTTGAAAAATGGTTATGGCTACAGAGATATTGGTGAAATCATTTGATTTCTTTAAGAAAATTTTGCAAATTCTGACAAAATGATTGAGATTTTGGAATATCTATATAAGAATACGAACAGAGATTGTATCGTTTAATTTATCATATTTTCAAATTATGGCTAAAAAACAGACACACCTACCATTATTAAAACATCTTGATATGGGTATTTTTCAATGATACTTAATAAATAAATAAATAAATAAAATCATGTGCTTCTAGACAAAGCGAATAGAGTTAATAAATGTGAGGGTTAATAAATTGTCTAAAATTTACTTGATGTTAAATGGATTGGGTTGAAACATGATGACAAGCGGGTTATTCATTAGTTTGTTATTTTATAATTTATTTAAGTAACTAATAAAACTTTTTCTTTCAATATTATGATGGTATATAATATATCAAATAAAAAATATTTTGATAAGATTTTTCATGTTTTTATTTGGACTATATATTAGTTAAACTTTTAAATGAGTTGAATTAAACGAGTCAAGATTAATAAATAGATGAGTTATTGATCTGCTTAAATTTGGGTGGTTCATATTACCGTGGGCTAAGCTTTCTATCCTTAACTGCAGTCTGCAGTAGACAAATCGTATCTAGAGGGGGGTTCTGTGGGTTCACGTGCACCCCATGGTCCCCTCTCTAGATTATATATAGTAGTGTTTTTAAAATATATATATATATATTTAAATATAGAGGTGTGAACCCACGTTAAAAGTAACATATAATAATACGATGATGATTGGGTGCACATCTCTGAGCAAAGCTAGAAATTTAAATCTTATATCTATGTTATTTTTGTTAGTAACACACCTTCAAGTAGTTATCCGTAACACTTTTGACATTCCAATCAATTTTTCTTTTGTTTTTTTGCTTTAATCTTTCAAAAATTTCAAGTGTGTAACATTGGAAATTCCTAAAAAAAAAATTAGAAAGATAAATTTTCTTATATAATTTAATCAAATGTGTATATTAAAATTTAAAAGTAGTAGTATTATATATGTTGGCTTATAATTTTTAAAATTTAACATTTTTGTGTTAAGAACGTAAAGATCAAATCGATCAAATTTATATCTTAGAGGCATCTTTTCATAATAGTATACCCATCCTTCTGAAATCCTGGATACGCCTCTAGTAGCAGTTATATATATTATATACCTTTGGAATGTACAATTCACATTTTGTATATCTTAACTGCAGTAGTTGGATCACATTTGTTTTGTTGTATACCACTGACGTATACATTATGTGAGTTGTATTACCTTGAGGTGCACAATAAAGTGCATATTTATTGGGTATTTGTAAATATATTTTTTTCCTAATAGGTGTCGAGTGTAATATGTTTTAAGACTTGTTTCTTTAGATATTCAATATATGTTCCATTTCAGCTTGTCGATATGAGATTCATCTAGAATGTTATATATATCCCACTCCCTTTGGGACTCAGAGTTTTTGTTGAGATTTTTCCCACCATCATTTAAGATTGCATGTGGAGTAACTCTGATCGATACAATATATAACAACCCAATTTATAAGTGATATTATTTGCTCTGGACCTAGGCTCACATGATTTTAATTTAAAATGCGTAACTAAGATATAAGACTTGCTTCTTTACGTACCAACGTATCTTCCGTATTTTGCTATTAATTATGTAAACAGAACAGGACGCTCGTTGGAAGATAGTGAGTAGTTCATTTTTAAAAATGGTTGTGATAAAATAATTTCATTTGTCTTGTTCATATAATCAAGATTATTTATTTTTTAATACGACTAATCTCTGTTTTTCTTATTTCCATCTAATGCCTGGTACTGAACGTATTGGGACCCAATTAAAGTTGGATTCCGCATTACATGACTAAGGGGTGATGCTCACAATATGATTTTCTCTATTCTGAAAGCTTAAATCTGAAACATTTGATTAAAGATAGATCCATTTTACTACGACTCATGATAGTACTACTAATCTCCGTTGTAATTCATGATATCATACTCACTTCAATTTTTTTAATTTAACCTTGTTTGTTGGATACTGCGTTTTGTAACAAAAAACTCCAAACGAATTCATAATAGGTGTTACAGAATTAATAAGAACCTGTAGGAGATCTCTTAGCTACAATTATATATATTTTTTTAAAAATCTATTTCATTTTTAATAAAATCCACAATTAGTTGCAATTAATTGAAAATTAAAAAATTTCAAGTTTAATGGTAGAAATCCGTAATTGTACTGCTTCCGTCCTAATTTATGACAATATTGTTTAAGAGAAAATGAAAGACTTTTAAATTATGTGACTATAGAAGTTCCTTAAAAAGAAAACAATATCATATAAATTAAAACAAAGGAAGTAACTTGCTTCGTACATTTGAGTCTCCTCGTGATAATATAACACTT